AAATAGCAAAACTCGCTAACAGCTGTTATGTCTTGGTTGTTGATTTTAAAATTCATGTTTTTAATCAGTCTGTTGCTGCAATTAAATAACATGACTTTAGTTTTCTTTACGTTTAATTTATACAATAGTCATTTAATTTGTTCAGACGGCTTTGTAGGCCGTCTTCCGTTTCTGAAATAAGTGCAAGGTCATCTGCATATTGGATGCAATTTATAATAATCGCCTTCCGATCACGAAAGAAAGAAGTAAATACGAACGAAATGTATATGCACAGAAAATAAACAAATATATGAGCAGATTGCATGTAAACTTTAACAAAAATTAAAATTCTAGCCGTATTTACAACGTTCGCTCGATTTTCATCGTGAAAACAGCATGGAGAAGGCAAACTGGTGACCTTTTGGCCTACCCCATTCAACGACCATCGGGCACCCACCGCTGTTGGCGCTGTAACAATTAAGTAGCTAAGTTGCATAGGGAAACAGCGCATTCTGGGTGTTCGGGTACTGAATTCGGAAAGCGGTAATAAACATCAAACATGCCTGCCGGATTAGTTTACCGCGAGTATTCGTAATTGAATAAAATTTTAGTTATCTTTTCCACGTACTTTTTTCAATTTATCCATTTTTTATGTCTAATTTTTTGAGAACATGGCAGATTTTCTTATTTTGCCGATTGCTAGAATTTTTTCTTGAATTCCAAAACAAGGTGTGAAAATGCAACGCAACGTATCGTGACCCTACATGCGTAAATGCATCTACCGTCCGTCGGCACAGATGAGTACTGATGCCACAAATAAAAATGGGTTTTGTTTTGACAAATCGTTCGTTTTGGCTTCGGGGTCAAATCACCTCGTATATTTTCTACATTATAACTCAATTATGTTTTGTACCTGCTCTTGGTTACATGAATTGCATTTCATGAACATAGAATAATTTGCGAACGTATAAATCAACGATTTCAAACTTTTTGCATTTCGTAAATATTGATAGTGACCAATCTGTTTGTATTTCAAAAAATTGTAACACGTTTCAATTAAATTAAAAAGAGTATAGTAAATAACTTAGTGTGTATTGCAGTTCATGACATATATGCTAGAATGCTGTATGTAAATGATATGCAAATTTATGCTAATTAAGCCACCCACCAGCTATTTTGGATTGTGGAGAACACTGAGTGTTATAATATTCTTATTATATGTGCAGTGGTATAATATTCTTATATGTGCAGTGGTATAATATTCTTATTATATGTGCAGTGGTATAATATTCTTATTATATGTGCAGTGGTATAATATTCTTATATGCGCAGTGGTATAATATTCTTATTATATGCGCAGTGGTATAATATTCTTATTATATGCGCAGTGGTATAATATTTTTATTATATGTGCAGTGGTATAGAATTCTAAATATTTGAGCAACCTGTCTTACAACATGCAGTGGTTTTGCCAAGGTAGGGAAACATAAGTAACAATTTGGGGGAAACACGTAAAATATTCATATCCTATCCTAACATCTATTTCGGGGGGTGGGTGGTGGTGGTGCAGATATAAACTGGAATGGCCCATTGATTGAAATAATGCCTAGAAATAGTATGAAATTTTGAGTGGTGTGGTACGTTTACTAACATCTCTACCTGTAATTTACACCCATTGTTTTCTATTCTATAAGCCCTAAAAGGAGTGTAATTACCTTGTTGTCCCATTGTTATTTTCTCTGAAAAAATCGGTGAATAAAACCTCCACTGGAAACATAAATCTTATATGTTAATGAAACAAAAATGGCAACAGTGAATCACTATTGCCTTTTTTTGGTATTTTTAAAATAACGATCGATCGATATGTAATAGACCGTTTAAGTTGCATGGCTGAAATCATTTTGAATTCAATAAAGAAAAGCCTGTGTTAGAGCTAACTTGCCTGGTGTCGGTTGGCTCTCGGATTCAAGCGAGAAAAATTACTGTGTGCCATCTTGCTAACTGACTAATTTTCAGAATCACTGTAATTGGAACTAGCTTTTCTAACCCGAGTCCTGAAGTCAAACAAGATGGCTCAAAGAACATTTTAATCATATTCACACAACTTGACCTCAAAGAGCGGCCATAGCCCTGTGTGGTGTCGCTAAGCAACAACCTACTTTCGTTATTTACGTTCTTGCAGCCTCGAATTTGTCGCCTGTGCATGTGTGGGTTAAACTTTTTAATGAGTATACCAGTTTATTTGGAACAAATTGTTTTTGTTGATGTACTTGTGTACGTGTTGCCAGGATATTTTAAACTATTTAAATTTAAAAACGCATTTGTTTATAGTGTCTTACAAGTTCAAATATCAAGAATGACACTGTCTTGACTTTTTACCACTGACACACTAAATGCAAATTAGGTCTCGCGCATTTCCGGGGGAAATGCATTCATAACAACAAACATAAACAGCCTGGCAATTACAAACTTTGTCTGTTTACGAAGCTGCTCGCAGAAAATTATTGTAAATATAATAATCAACAGACATTTCTCAAAACATGGTTGAACATAAATTTCACGTGCATTTTTTCACAGTATTTTACTTTGGACTTGGACTTTGAGCATTTTGAGTTTGACAAAGATGGCAATGAATGCACAAATAAAGATCTGAGAAGTTTTTTCAAACAGCTATCAATTTTTGACTCCCATGTGCGAAGCACAAAAAGGGAGTCTTTGCAGTTAGTGTGTCTGTGTCTGTGTCTGTGTGTGTGTGTGTGTGTGTGTGTGTGTGTGTGTGTGTGTGTGTGTGTGTGTGTGTGTGTGTGTGTGTGTGTGTCTGTGTCTCTGTTCCATCTATATCTCAAGAACCAATGTTCGGATTTCAATGAAACCTAATATATATCTTGTCTGGAGCAATGTGCATATTTGATTATTTTTTGGTCGACATTCATGCATATTAATGATCTCATCTGCATAATAATGTGTGAATTTTAATCTATTTCATTTATATCTCAAAAAACATTAAAACGATTTTTATGTAACTTGGTAAGAATGGTACTACAGATTGGCTGCTGCAATTCATTGTTTTATTTTACATTTTAATTAAAATTTAGCATTTTTATGTATTTTTTTTATTTTTTTTTAAATTTTTTTCTGCC